GAATTTATTAATGGTATTTGTAATTTATTTGTATGTTGTATGTTAGAATCTTAGTATTAAAATTTGGTAAATGCAGTTGTTATTAGTCAATGTATACATTTACCTATGATTTTTACATATTTTTGAACTAATTATGAAAATAAATTTGAAGCAATATTTTTGTTTGATATTTGTAAAAAATATACTTTGTTCATACTTTTACTTGAAAATTTTTGATACATTTTCACATAAAATTTATTGAAGTTTAATAATTATTTTTTGGAAGTTAATTTCGTAAAAAATGCACACGTAATGTAAGTTTAATTTGAAATGTTGTTCATATTCTATTTTATATCAAAAAATTATGAAATTGTGTCTATTTTTCTTTTAATATAATTTTTATATAATACTAATTTTTAACAGGAGTGTTGATTTGGTTGTCTAATCTGAACTTAAGCAACAGGTTAGGTTAGGTTCGCTAGATGATTGATTAATATATAGACATTTATAAATGATTCAAATCACTATAACATTTATTAAATTATAACAAGAATTTATTAATGGTATTTGTAATTTATTTGTATGTTAGAATCTTAGTAAATGCAAAAATCCAGTTGTTATTAGTCAATGTATACATTTACCTATGATTTTTACATATTTCTGAACTAATTATGAAAATAAATTTTTGTTTGATATTTGTAAAAAAATATACTTTGTTCATACTTTTACTTGAAAATTTTTTGATACATTTTCACATAAAATTTATTGAAGTTTAATTTTCAATTTATTAATTAACTTGTATCAACTTGTAACTCAATCAACGTATTTATGTTTTAATATATTTCAAATTTATTCTTTACAGTGATTAATATACTTTAATAAGTTGTAATTTTCTTTGTAAAACTGCAATTTATGAATTAACTTATAAATGTATATCTTTACTTTTAATTTTAAATATCTGTCAAATTGGTATATAAGTGAGCTATAAGTTTCTTTGTTTTTGTGAACTGAAATTCTCTTTATAGAGAGCGAAACTTAATGATACGAAGGCATAAAACAAAAATGTAAAATACACTTGTATATACGAGTACGCAAAGTTGTTTGATATAGAAAGTGACAGCGTAATCGATCATAATTTATCGTGATTTAATCGCACAAATAATATACGAAATCAAAGTCCTAATGGTCGCAGTTAGGAAATGGACAGATGGATGAAGGTAATAATAAGATGATCGTGATGATGATAAGCGTCTTTAAATTTGAAGAAGACGAAGTAAAACGGAATTTCTGTTTCTGTGCGGGTGTCGATTCTCGAGCATTCGAGAGATTGTTGCGACACTCTCTGAATGCATACTACACACACACACATAGACGTTTATGTGTGTTAGTGTGTATACATATACAAATATAGATAGGTATACATTCAAGAGGCCAGATCAAGCACCACACCCAGGCGAAAGTGCGGAACACAACAACCGCAATGTCATTCGCGTTGCTACATCCTTCGCGGAAAATCAAACAGCGGACAATAATCGAGTCCGTTCTACAATCACCGCAACTTTTAGCAGTAAGCGGCAGCAGCAACATCAGCAGCAAGAGCAAAGAAGAGAAGAAAAGAATGAAGAAAAAAAAAATGGAACGAGTTGGAGGAAAAACGAGTAGAGATAAATCCACGCACACGAGCGAAAAAAAAATAAATAAATAATAGAAATAAAGTGAAGAAACGAGAGTAGAAATTGCGCAATCTAGAGAGGAGGCCTATCTTTGGGATTTTGCAACGTCCGAAAAGTGTAATTGATTCTAGAGGATGAAGCGAACATCAATTCTGGAGTGTTGCAACGCGCGCGCCGCACCATTAATCCTTGGCGTAGATTTCCAGATACAACGAAGTTAAAGAAGAAAATTTATATTAATGATGGCCGAAATGATACATTCACTGCTGCTCTTGGATCAAGAGTAAAAGGAGTAAAGAAGTAAGAGGAGGATGAAGAGGAAGAGGTGGAGTGCATGTTGTTGTTGTTGTTGTGGAGAAAGAAGGAATGGATGAGGACAAATAAGAAGGATTAAAAGTGCAGCTACTACCGGTTTTTGAAACGGATTGATTAATCGGTTAGCCGGGTCCTATATAGATCAAGGCTGCAACATTTAATAATTCCTTAATTCAATTTACATACTTTCGTCGTTCTATTTCCGCGACGCCCAAAAAATCCGCTAACAATGACCAAAACAATTGGCCAAGGTTGCGGCCCGCTCGGAAATCTCCGTTCCACTTCTCTATCTATCTTCAATCGCCTCTTCCTCCACCACCTATATTTTTCTTCTTATTGTCGTGTTCTCTTTACATCTTTCTTTTTCTCTCTCTCGCGCATTTTTTTCCTCCTCTATTTCTTCTTCCTCCGGTCCCCGTCGTGCGCGCTGTTCTCCTCTGTGTTCTTCTTCTGGGTTTCGCTTAGATCGAATTGAATGGAACTTACGGCGGTTCTCGTTCAAAGTTACGATGCCGCTCTCGCACCAAAGCGATTTACAATGCTCCATTCAAATCCCCGGCGAGCTTTTCTTTCTTTTCTCCAACGTCGTCCACCTCTCGATCGTGGATGGCTTTATCCGTCCGCTCCTCATTCCAACAGTTTATCCTCTCCATCAGCTCTTCCTTCACATCCTCATTTCGTGTTTACTTTTTTTTATACCCCGAAATCGGAGCGTCCGTTTCCTCGAATAAGGTCATCGGATCGGAGGCGTGAAAGGTGTCATAAGTCACAGTCTCATTGTCTTTGCGAATGTTGCCTAACGCGGACAAGATCGTAATTACCAGGTGTGGCCAATCTGCCCTCATTTTTAAAGCGGCTACCGCGCGCCACCACCACCATCAACCAGATAACTATCACTTTTCCTCAAACCGAAAAGGGAACTTCGGAAATTTCGTTCGTTTCACAAACTCCCAATTACCGGCTACGCACCGCATTCATCTTACAAACTTCGCTCTTTTTTTTCTTTTCTTATTACTCTTGTTGTTGTTTCCTGCGCGAATTAATGAAAAGCGTTCGTAGCATTCCAATTAAGATTAAACGATCAGCGGCGCGGAATTATGAAACTTCTAATCTATATATAATCCTAGTTCTCAACGCAGCAAAAAAAATATAGGAGGCAGTTTGCTATTATCGTATGTTCGATCTTAATGTCTGCGCGGTGTAGGTGTTGAACAAGTGGCATTTTTTTACTATTCACAAGATCTGATTTACCTTTCCAAAAAAAGAAAACTAAATACTTTTACAATCCTACATCAAATTATCAATAAGAGTTTCACTAAACAAAAGTACAATTTCACACTTCTTTTTATGCGGTAGATACGTTCGACAGGAAAACGCATAAAAATAAATCGCACAAAAAAGGACTAGACACACGTATAAAAATAAAGGATACGTTCCATAATTTTTTAAAACCACATAAAACTAAATCAATGAGTTACAATATACCGAGAATCGCATAAAAAAGGGTTTATTAAATTTCAGAAAAATAATTAGTTTTACTATATTCTTTCTGAAATGTTTATTCATAATTTTATGAAAACGTTAACAATCATAGACAAGTTTATTAAATTTCAGAAAAATACAATCTTAACATATTCCTTCTAAATTTATACGGAAAAATTTTACAAAAAAAAATACGGAAAATTTTTATGAAAGTTAATCTTTCTTCACATTTTTTTCTTTAGAATTATCGTCGCTATATGAGAGTATTCGGTATAATTTGAAAACTGGTTCGAAATCTCTTTCATTACTAGAAGAGATAGTCAGCATATCAGATCTATGTCATATCAGATTTTTCACAAGTAAAATTAGTCTCAACTTCGCATGTTGATTTTTTTCCTTTGACAATATAATCAGTGATTAAACTTTGCAATGGCTTTGCTATTTTTTTGTACAATTCCTGAAATGCAATTCTGAAGCTCGCGTTGAAACTTGAATGCTCGTTCAGAATTATCATCTTTTTCGATGAAATGGTTTGCCAATTTGTGTCAAAACGCCTAAAATAGTTATATAAAAAATGCTTCTTGAAATAAAAACCGCATAACTTCAAAACCACACAAAAAGAAGACCGAGTATATGTAAAAAATCTTTAGCAAAGTCTATATTTTCAATTTATATAACGAAAATATTAAATAAAATGATTAGCAATAGGTGAAATAAATTAAAGGAAACACACAGTAAATTCTTTTTTATATCAATAAATTTATTACTTTTTTTATACAATATTTCATTTTTCTTCATATAATAATAATAATAATCATCATCATCAATAAGTACGAATGCCCTAAGAAAGAAGAATTCAATCTCTTGTTTTATTATTTTATAAAGTTATATTTTTTTTTGGTGGTAGTTTTTCCCATTTTTTTTTTAAATTTATTTAGTGGTAGATACGAGATAAAGATTTGCTTTGGAAAACTAACAGAGAAACATAAAAATAATAATAATAATAATGGTGTGGAAACAATCGAAGCCGATCCAATAGTACGTAAAATTCTTTACATTTCTTTTTTTATTGTTGAATCTAAACACTAGCAAAAATAAAATAGTAAAAATGATAAAACTTAAAACGTACGTAAATAGCGATAAAACCTATTATTCAATTACGCAACTTAATTATTAAATAATTCATCCATTAAAACTAATTCACCTTTGGCTCCAAATTTTGTATTTCTTTTGTATGTAAATTTCAAAATTAACACAATATAATATATGTATATATATATATATAGAGAGAGAGAAAGAGTTAGTATTTAATCATGATTCGTTGCAATTGCTTAAAAATGATTACCTAAAAACGTTCTCTGCGTCGGGTATTATATAATAATTTAATATACAAATAATTCGGGTTTTATATTGCACCCTAATAATATATATATACACTTATAAGTTAATTTAAATCACAAGAAAATGTTATTTTCTTTTCTTTCTTTTTTTAAATGTAATATGTACAAATTTTTGCGTTTGAACAGTGCAAAATAAAAATTTAAGGTTTGTATCTCTCTTAATATGTTTGTTTTTTTTTGTTGACTTACATAAAACTGTGCAAATATTATAGGGGATGTTTTTTTTCATATATATAAACTTAATGTTTCATTAAGGATGTGTAGGAACTCGCTCTTCGTGAAATAATTATTTGAGAAGGGTTGTTTGGGATTAAAAATTCTTTTTAAAAACTACTTGATTTTCTTTTGTACTAGACTTAATTATATTAAGTGGAAATTTCGAGGTCGTTGTTGTTGAGGATTTCGTCCTTCGCGTGCTTGGAGAAGTCTTCCGGAGGCGATCCTTCCGAGTACGTCTCGGAGTCATCGTCATCGCGTCCAACGACGTCGATCACTCCACTTTGGTTGTTGTGAGGAGGCGTGTAGAGCCTGGTTTGAGAGTAGGGATCCGATGAGCAGGTGATTTTGCCCATGAAGTTCCTGATCTCCTCGAAGCAGGCATCGTCACGCTCGTTCTCGTTACTGCTTCCCGGGGAATCGGCGACGGAGATGCCACCGTTCTCGTCCGTTTCGTGCTTTTTCAGGTGTCTGTCGAGGTTCGTCTGTTGCCCGAAGCAGCGTTCGCACCGCGTGCATTTGAAGGGTTTCTCCTTATTGTGTATGTTTCGCACGTGGCGCTGCAGATTTGAGCTGATGGAGAAGCTGCGCTCGCAGTATCTGCACTTGTAGGGTTGCTCCCCGGTGTGTGTGCGGAGGTGGCGCGTGAGGTTTGCGGAACGGGGGAAAACCTTACCGCAGAATTTGCAGGAATACCGATCCTTCACCTTGCCTTGACTCTGTTGACTGATCACGTCCTGGTACTGCCGCACTCCACTGAAGGTCGGTGATCTGAGCAGGTCGATGTTGCGTTGCTGCAGGTGGTTCAGGTAGTTGAGCCGAGGCGGGAGGAAAGACGGCGTGAACACCCTCTCGTTGTTTTGGAAATTCAAGTTCGGTCTATACATGAGCATCGGATGGTAAGGTGTCGGATAGGCGATGGGTGGTGGTGAAATCAGCTTAGGTTCCTCCTCTTTGACTGGGGCTTCGATGAGCTCGACCACTTCGACCTTCTCCTCGACTTTCACTTCCTTCTTCCAGCAGCTCAGGTCCAAGGGTTTTTCGGTTTCCTCGTCGCTGCTGCACGATTTGTGGGCGGGAGATTTGCCGGTGGATAGGTCTTTGGGGAAGGTTTCCTCCTCGTCCGAGGTATTCGTGTTGAGTTGTTCCCGGGGATCGCGGAATATCGTGCTGTTTTGTGGTGGACGCGCTGGGCTCGGCGCCAAATTCGCTTCCTCCGCCGTTGGAGGACTCACTTTCGTATTGGTAATGGCGGGAACGCGCGGTGGGGTCATTCTATCTTTAATCGGTGACATCCTCTCGGGGCTGGCTAACCTCAGCTTCTTCGGCGGCGACACGTCTTCTTTGGGAAGCTTCGGTGGTGGATTGAAGAGGAGCGGGTTCATGTACGGCGCTTGCGGTGCGTTGGGGTGGAAGATTTGGTGGTAGGCGGAGAAGGGTCGAGTGAAGAAGGGCAAAGGTGGACAAGGCGCCGGTCGATACATGTGGATGTTGTTTGTGGACATCGGATTGATGGGCATTTGGTGGATGGGCAAGTTCGAGTTGTTAGGGGTGGTCGAATCGCAGAACCTCTTGTGCTTCGACAAAGAGGTGACCGTCGAGAACGTTTGGCTGCACTTGACGCACTTGATCTGCATGCGGCAGTCGGCGTGCATCCGCTTGTGACGGCACAGGTTTGAGAATTGAGTGTAAGCTTTGAAGCAAACCTCGCACTGGAAAGGCTTGACGCTCGAATGGATGTGGGTGTGTTGCTTCAATCCCGAAGAAGTCGCAAACGCTTTACCGCACTCAGGACACGCGTGCGATCTGGCAGCCGGATGATGAGTCTTAATATGTCTTTGCAGATTACTAGGATCGGTGAAAACCTAAGAGAAAAACAACCATTTGTTAGTTCAAACAATTGTTTACTATCAATCCAAGCTTACCTTAGTGCAATTCTCGCAGTGGTACTTCCTGTGCTCCCCGTGAACGATGGATCTGTGTCTGATCAAGCAAGGTCTGTAACAGTACGCCTTCGGGCACAAGTCGCAGCGGTACTCGTCCTTCCTGTAGTTGTGCTTGAGCACCAAGTGTTCGTCCAATCTACAGAAAGAGCAATTGGAAATTAATTTCGAGTGGGAATCGATGGAGACGTTAATTACAAGTCGCGTGTTCACGAGTCGTTCAAGTGAACGCGTTAATAATTCCAGTGACATCGCCGCTCGTAAAATCACCAAGTGGCGCTTCGGGACTAATAAAGTTGACGAAAATAATTCACCAATTCGATCAAAAAGAAAAAAAGTTGACTTTTCACCCCGTTTCTTTATTTTTTTACTATCAACTTTAATCGCGTGCGCTACTATTTGTACTTTCGGAAGCGACACGACACGCGGGAGGACACAGTTCAAACAGATCACGTCGCGCGATAGCCGCAACAATTATCAATTTGAATTATTAAAAAGCCAAGCAAACAACACTCACCTATCTATATTATGGTAAGGCTGATCGCACACGCAACACAGGCTGGGCGCATCCTCATCCTCGTCTTCTCTTTCGTCTTCAACGGTACCACTGTGTTGAGAAGCTGCAAAGAAAACACCAAAGTTAATACATCGAAGCCAATACGATTCATCACAACTAAAAATTCTTACGCAATCAAAACGCAATATTAATTTCAAATGTTGGCTTTGCTGGTGAAGCCACAGGTACACACTACGAGCAACTGGACAACAATAAAAGTCACATATCGCACCTCAACCCTTGCAGCGGCGATACACATTCGTATGTTTTCTTTTTTGTTTTGGGGGGGTCGAAGCCTTACTCTCTCTCTCACTTGTCCTCACGTCACCGCAATCGGGGCGTGACAGAGAGGGATGGTTATCGCGTAGCGTAGCCTTTCACCCCCGCATCAACAACAAAAATCATAGGGAAATTGGTGGGGGGTGCGTCACGGTTACAATCACAATACACAGACGATGGTGGGAGAAACGAAATTAATATGTTATAGAAGTAACAACAACAAAAATAACAACAAAAACATAAAAAAAAAGTAATAATATTCAGGAATAATTGTAAGGGTCAATTTCTAACACCACCCAACTTCAATTTGATTGATGTACAAGTGATTTCTTTCGAATCAATCAGTACGGAATACATTATTATGATTATTAGACCGAAATATATTATTGAAACAAAAAAACGAAACACCCTCGACAGTAAAGGTGTAATTACAACGCCTTGAAGAAAAAAACTTTTAGTACAAATCTGTTCCCCAACAAATGAACATTTTCATTTTACTTTAGTTCATCAATGTAATGAAATTTTCACTTCTTTTACATACGTAACAATTAGCAAAGTTCAGTTGATCTATAGCAGATAACCAATTGTGGTTGTGGTTAATACACACGATTATGTATATATAAAAAAAAATACTACGTGGGTTTGAAAAAAAAATACTATTACCTATCACGTTTTTAAAAAAAATGTAACAATTACATTAAAATAAGTTTATTAATTTCAGTTAATGAACAAAAAAAAATCTTGGTGGAGGTCAAAAGAAACAGTAAATTGAGATTGCGAAAGATATTACGTGAGATTAACTGCAATAATAATGTAAATAATATTGCAAATCGATAATTGAAAGTAAACGAGAAGAAGAGAAGGAAGCGGCTTGCGGGGTGAAGAGAAAAAAAAATAATGTAAAGTAAACGTAGAACAGGTAACGCGAACAAAAGGGATAATGAGAGTCAGGTGGAGCGAATCGCGAAAGATTTCTGCATGAATGGCTCCTTCCGGGATGTAATTGAATTATGGATTCAACATTATTAAAATTGAACGCTTATTTTCCAACGGTCTGCGGTGAGCGCGTGCCGCCGCCCTTTGTGTCCTGCTTTTTATTTATTTTTTTTACCCATTATAATGAGCGGAAGTTAAAATCTGTCTTCCTGATAAATCAACCCCCGAGGACCGTTTGCCCTCCACCCTCTCTGATTGCTGTCGCTGCCGGTTGTTGTTGTTGTTTTATTCGGGTTAGAAGGGCGTAATTTTCGTGTCAAATGAAGTCAAAAACCAGGTGCCGGATGCACGCGGATCCAGCGCTCAAGGGTCACGCGATTCCTAACCCTCAGTGATAGCAAACGAAAACAACAAAAATGGACATAGTGACTATAGATATAGTAAATCGAAGATGATGCCAACAAATAGCAACAAAAAGGATATCTTTCGAAGATGATGTCAAGAAAAAATACCAGATTCTGAGGTCAGCGGTAACAACAAGAAACCTTTTGAAGATGATTTCAAAAGAACCTAATTCGATGATAGCAACAAAATGTGCAAAGCTATCCAGATGGACGGGTAAAGTGAAGATATGGACAACTGCCAAAAAAATAAAATACATAAAGATAATGCTATTTTCCCACAGTCTTCGTTGCGCAACGTCCGTTATTCAGGGAGGACAGACATTTGGTGTGCCTTATGGATTGGATGGTCCGCGGGTTTTTCTCGGCTCGCACCTGTACCTGCAACCTTCCGACCGTGACCCCGTCCACAAACAAACATATACACACTATACGCACTTTAATTGCTCCAAATTGGTGAACAGTCTGTTTCTGGAGGTCTATGGGAAAGCCAACGTTTTTCCGCCTTCGATTCAGCAAAATGGAAATTTGAATGCACGAAAGTCCCCAACGTCCGTCTGGCGCTTCAGGAGGGTGCCTCCCGCAATTTGGCCAGAAACACGTGTAAAAGTCACGGGCGTGAAAATAATCATATAAAAAATGATTCCCTTTCTGTCAGTCTCCTTCTCTCTCTCTCTCCCGACTTACATCTATATGTGGATGTTTTTTTTATTATTATATTATATTATATAATATTAAATCCGTGGAGGCCGCCCCCTCCGGGTCCGTGTAAAAAGGGACCCGGGTCGGCCGCACAATGCGAGAAGGGGGTTTGCGTAATAAATCTGATTAACTTCCAGCTGCGCATTTCGCAAAACATTCACCCCCAAATGATACCCACACAAAACACACGCACCTATATATATATATAACATACACATACAGAGGAGAAATTGAATAAAACTAATGTCACCCCATTTATGCGGCGATCGCTTAATCACGGCCCATTTGAAATTGAGATGTCATCGAGAGATTAAAGGGCTCTCTCACTCACTCTCTCTACATTCCCTCTTTTAAACTCGTCAAAACAATTTCCATTCTGCGGCCTGTTTTCACCGGATTAAAGAGTTAAATCCTCGAACCCAACGGATCCACTCGGCGGAAAGATCAGACGATCAGATTACGAAAAAAATCAACCCTTAATTTCGTTATTCTAATTTCCATCCGCCCCGATGGAAATCAACGAAACGACTTTCTTTTGCGCTACTGCTACTATTTAGTTGCTGCGGATTCGATCAGTTCGTAGAGTAGTAAACAAGAAGATCAATCATCGCGTTGCGCAAATCGAATCGGATCGGAAAACCGTGACCGAATCCATCTGTTCCCCATAAATAACGTCGACGAAAAAAAGGACCGAAAGTGACTGAAAAACATGGGGGGTGACATCTCAATTATGCGGCATCCCTCCATTTGCGAAAGGGTTCTTCTCTTCATCCTTTCAATGTGATCCTTTCACACAGCCGCAGCAGCAGCAGAAGTCGCGTGCCGATTGTTTTCGGTACCACGGGAATAAATCATATTTAATCCCATATTACTGACACATTTGCCACCCATTTTACGCAAGCTAACGGATATATATATATATTACATAACATAAAGCAAACACATTGCCAGAACGTAAATAATAAATTCACCAAAAAACCTACAATGCTTTTGTATATAAACAATGAAATTCATCCAACATCATCAAAAGTATGAAAGCATTTACTTATTCAAAAAATTTAAAATCTTAATTAATTAATTAAATAAATAAAAAATATATTTTTTTTCATGAAAATAAAAAAATTAGGGCGGAAAGACCTCGGTCGTTAGCCCTTTGGCCAGCCTATATATTATAAAAAAATATATATTATTTTTTATTCTATGTTAAAATTTATTTATGTATAAATTGTACTTTTTTTTTCTCTTCTTCTTATGTATCGATGTTTGGCCAATAAATTATTATTATTAAAATAATTAAATATTTTGTTTGAATTTACTTAAAATTTTATAATTATAGGAATCTGACTATGTTTCAGATAAGTTTAATTAAATTGTAGGAAATTATATAGTAGAAACATTCCTAATTCAATCTATTTTTTGTTTTGCTATATGAAAATGATGTAACTTAATTCGTTGAACCTTCGAATTTTATTACCATTATTATAGATCAAATCTAACGAATTGCTCCGTTATATAAACAAATAGTATCGCCAATTAATTAACCAATTAATATACGAAGAAGTTTAATTTGCATTATTGAACCTTCGAAATTCGTCAACAAAATATATTTAAGCTTCTTGCAAACAAGCGCAAACAACATTTTAATTAATAAGCGAAAAGAAGAAGATGGTCAGGTTTCTCATTCATGATGTGTAACTTACCGGTTTCGCGATCGGACCTTTCGTCTGCAGAGGTGGAATCCCCGAACATGTCCTGCAGGTAGAGCGGTTCCCGCGGTTCCAAAATTAATTCGGCACCAGATGGTATATCCATGCATGTTTCGTACCACAACTGTGAACACACCAACAATATGTTACAGAAAACGATTTGCATAATGCACACACAACGCACATAAAAATGAAGACAATTTCACGAAAGATTTTACAAAAAAAAAAATATTCTCACAAGTCTACAAAAAATATTATAATTTGCAATTATTTTTAGTTAAAAATTTATAATGAATTCGAGTTTATTTTTTTGAATAATTATTATAATTAATTTGATCAAAATGTTTAATATTCCAATACTAAAAAAAAATTGTATCAATTCAACAAAATTAGATTTTTTTTTGTTACAAATGAAAAAATAATTAGAAATTGAAGCAATTATTATTATTAATTTATGTGTTTTTTTTATCAAATTAATGAATATTTCCACCATATATTTGTTTAAGAAAAAAAAATACTAATTAATTTGGTGTATTTGTATCAAACTATAAAATACTAGAATGTATTAAAATTAATTAATCTTAAGCAAATTAATTTGAAATCATTAATTTTTTATAATAATTTGTGTTGAAAATTACAAAGTTTTAATGAAACTATTCAATGCTTCAATCCAGTGATTCTCAAAGTGTCGCAGAAAAATTGATGTATTTCGACACATACTCATTCTTCGGGTGTCCTTTAAAGTTTTCAGGTGTAAAAGAGGATCGTGGACCAAAAAGTTTGAGAATCACTACTTTAGACTACAAATTTGAGATGTAATTGAAACTATGTAACTGTAATTCTAAATTTTGATTTTTGGGTTTCTAAAATAATATTTTTATAATAATTTGTGTTAAAAATGACAAAGATCTAATAAAAATTATTGAATGCTTCAGTCTACAAAATATAGGATGTAATTGAAACTATGTGTAACTGCAATTCTGATACTTGTATTCATTTTGCTTTTTGGGTTTCTAAAATAAGTATTTTTATAATAATTTGTGTTAAAAATGATAAAGATCTAATAAAAATTATTGAATGCTTTAGTCTACAAAATGTAGGATGTAATTGAAACTATGTGTAACTGCAATTCTGATAATTGTATTCATTTTGCTTTTTGGGTTTCTGAAATAAGTATTTTTATAATAATTTGTGTTAAAAATTACAAAGATCTAACAAAAATTATTGAATGCTTCAGTCTACAAAATGTAGGATGTTATTGAAACTTGTGTAACTGTAATTCTGATACTTGTATTAATTTAGTTTTTTGAGCTTCTGTTTTCTCTTAATAATATATATATATAGTTTGCGTTCATTTCTTTCCACGCATTAATCCATAATTGTTAATGATTTTTATTACAATTTCATCGCTCGACGCTCGAGGTGATGAATAAATTATTAACGAAAGCACTCTCGCGTGTTCGACTTTGATATGTCTCTCTCGAACTACACACATTCGGTGTACTATATACGCCTCGAAAACAAAAAAAAAACAGTACAGAACGAAACACAATATTATTATTATTGCCATTACTAATTCAGAGAGTGCGATCATTATTAACTGCTTTCCGTGTCGTGTCGTGTCGTTCACTTACTTTTCCGCCCTGCAGGAAGTGCCTCATGTTGGCCGAGCTCTTCGTCGTCGAACACTTGATGAATTTCAACCAATTCTGATGCTCGAGGGATCCGTCCAACCAACCCCTATCTCCTGATCCCGCAATCACCTAAAAAAAAAATATATATATAAATATATTTCGTTCTTTTCTTAAGCTTTTTATAAGCTTGTATTATAATATTAAACTGTTCCCCTAAACGATTTTCGCTGTTAAAAGAAAGTTTAGATTGAAGAGCATTTGAAGGGTGGACGCCCTCTTACAACCCCAGGTTTTTAGTTTCGAGGATCAATTAATTGCAATGAAAAGATATGACTAAATGGATTTCGCATTTGCTTTATTTAAAATCCTTTCTGGTCAAATGTTTAGCAAATTTTGTGTTTGATTACATAAATATAAACTAATAATTTCTTTAATTTCATTGCTTCATTAAGAATGACCATTTTTTCTCGGTTGTCGATTTACGTTCTTAACCCTTTGAAGGACTAGAAATTTCTATATTCAACTTCGTCAACTGAATCAACATCGGATGGTATGGATTCAACATAAACATCCTCAAAGGGAAAGAAAGGGATGAATTTCCGGGACATTTTCTAGAATATTATAGGCATGTTCAAAAGGTGTTGTCCCACGTCCTCTCAAAAGGATAAAATAAGTGATGGAAAGTTTTTTAAAAGATTTTTTTATGGATTTAAAATGTGCGTGTTCTTCGGAGGTTAGTGGCGCGAGCTGTTGGTGAAGGCGCGCAACTAAATTACAGGTAAATCTTGAGCGCAGGTGTTGAAGGTGAACGCGACAGAGGGCGCTTCCGATTGAATTCAAACTTGCTGCGGGGGGTGTGTGCGCTGATTCGGGCAATTTAATAATTCCGGTCCAATTTTCCGGATGCCCGGTTTCCATCTGTGACGGAGAGGTTCGGATTTCGTTTTCCTTGGAGAAAGGGGGCGCAAATCGCGCGGAAAATCCGCAAAGCATCGCAGAAATGAGCGATGGGGATGGATTATTATTTTCGCGTCGGTCTTATTATTTCATTACTGCGGTCGTTTCATTTTTCCTTTTGGTCTTCTCCTGCTTCGTAGCTTTTATAGATGATCGGTGGAAAAAAAAAAGAAGCAGAATTGAGGCAATTGTGTGCGAGGGTCGACAAAGGACGTTTGCGAGGATGCACACACAGTAGTCGCCCATAGAAGTTTGGAGAAGTGTCCTTTCTCGCTCCCTTGAATGGTTTTAACGATCTCGCTTTAAATCAATCACCGGTCGACACTCAGCATCCATCCGGACAGGATTCTTAGCTTTTCTTTTCACTGTTTCTCTATGTTTGAGGATGGGAATACTCTAATGTGGTGATCATCGTGTCCTTCTTTCACGCTCCGACACCTTTCCTAAAGCCATCTTACTTAAGCCACCACCGACAGAGACATTCTTGCATCACGTATCGAATATACCCGACGGTTGTTGTTATGCAAGGAGGACGTGCATAATAATCACATTAGGGATGTGTCATTTATCCGGGTGCGAAATGTTCCGATATCTGCGATTGTGTGTGCATTGGGGCGGGCCGCATCGGTCATCGTCTCTGAAAGAGATAAATCCCGATTGTTATCTGCGCACAAGGGATCCGTCCACAAAAGGGACACCCTCCGAACAATTGCACACACCGAATGTCCCTCCGGAAAAAAAATATATATATGTGTATAGAAAAAGAGGAAAAAAAAAAGCAACACATCGAAGAAAGGCGCAAAGAAGTGGACGGAAAAAAAGTAACAAGAGGAGATACATGTTTATTAACGTGTCCTTCTCTGCTTCTGTCGGCCTCGGAAGATTGGCAAAGATTGATGGTCCGAGAAGAGAGAGAGAGAGAAAGATTGTTTGCGGGTGTGATAATTGAATGCTTGATTTATGATTTTCTTCTTCTTAACGTTCTTCAACCCAAACGCTCATTTTCCCCGAATCTCCTCCTTCCTTTACTTTATTCATTAATTATCTACTCCTTTCGACATCCTTTTCAAAATCCAACAAAAAAAATCAAATTTCTATTAAAAAAAAAACTAAATTTGCAATATCCTTTCGAAATAAATTTTTTATAAAAACTATACTTAAGATTTAAATTTACGAAGCAATTTCGGAATCTTTTTCAAGATTTAATTTTCAGAGTTATTTCGAAATTTTCAAATAATTTTTTATAAATTCAAAATTTATTTCAAATATTTTGTACCAAAAAAAAAGTTTAGTTAAAATTGATTCATTTAATTAGTTGCTATGTACATTGATTCGCTTATCTCGTCGATGATAATTTCTTTTTAAAATTCGGATTTAAAGTTTTAGTTTATTTATTTTTTTTTTTTTGAGTTTCCAATGATGGGATTATGAATTGCGATAGATGTCGAGAGGAAAAGTATGATTTACGGAATCTAATCGAATCGGCAACAAAAAAAAAAAGTATTGGCGAAATCGCGAATTTAAATTTAGTCTGTATAGATTACGAAAGAATTATTATTTACTCCGATGTTTATTAAGTGTCAATAGATATCTAGTTGATAAGAACAAACAAAATTGTTTGTTTGCTTAATTCACTCGTTATTATCATCATCTGGTCTTATTTCCCTTCAAAACCTTTTAGATTAACTAATTCACGTCTAGACGATTAAAATTATTACAATTTGATCATTCAATGAACAATTTTTAAGAAAATGTATAACACATTTTTATTACATAATTAATATTACTTTCAATAATTAATTAAATTAACAGAAATTTCCTTTACAAATATATTTTTTTGTAATTTTATGAATGAATTGAACTTTTCATTTCTTTTATTTGTAAGATTAGACTGGTCTGTAAGACTAGATTTCTGAGATGTATTAGTAGAAAGTTTGAAGTTATAAGGATTTCTAAGTAAATATTCATGGAAATTTCCTAGGTGAGAGAAATAGATCATCATGTTATTCCCATTGTGTTTCTAGGAATGACGTGTGACAAAAAAAAAAACAAAGTTGACTTGAGTTTCGCTTGAGTGAAAGAAGATGTGGGATGCACAATGAGTTTAGGTAAAGTGATAATTATTCCTGAATGCAGGGGTATCGTAGCGTGCAAATTGACGGTAGGTGAGAAGACACCATTATCGTTTGGGTTTTCCTTTTGATGATTGACTTTTGTGTCGGATGCAGCAGATGCGAACCGTTTATGCATAAATATACCTGCCTTTTTGGTCCGCAACAGCAGTGGCAGAACGCGTTCATTAATCGTTCCACGGATTTTTGCAGTCCGACGACAAATTGTGATGAATATAGCAAAAAAAAAAATGAGGTAGTGACCGAGGTGCGACATCCCGAACGGTCATCAAACAACAGCTGCGATGACTAAATTGAGGCTCATCAATTCACGCGGCGGCACACGGCACCCTTTCTTCTCTCTTCTGGCCATAAATTCGAGCGAAGGAGAAGCGAAGCGGGGGAGGGTTTGGCAGTAATTAAAATCTCCGTCGCGCAAATTGAAGCCGGATTGCGATTATTGTGATGATCTATACACACGGTGCGGGCGTTTAGCAATTAAGACAGTGTCAAAGTGCGGAGTCGGGAAGCATATCGAGTGAGTGAGAGAGAGGGTGTAGTTATCGTAAAAGTAGTTATTACTTCGTATATCAACTGACAGCTGCCGATGATGGCAGTTGACCCGGGACTTTCAGATTCACTCGCTCTCCCGCTACACTCTCGAAGGGTGAACACCATAATGTACACTATATGATCAATTATCTTGGGCTCTTGTTCTGACGTTTAGGAAATGGTGCGCGCCCCCAACCCTCCCGACGAGAAGACGAGAGGCCAACAAAAAAAAAACATAATAATCTTGCAAGTGAATCGATTCATGGAGAGAAGAAGCACACAAGAGAAGAGCGAATTGATATAGTAGTAGTAGTATGAATTGAGTTAATAATAATAGAATGATGAGAAAGAAACTGTAACGAGGATAACAAACACCCTTTGAAACAGGTTTCGTCGCGTGCATAAATAATTAATTCCCATGTGTGTGTATATATATATAAACATATTCGTTCAAGAAAGTTCACGACGAGGTCACGACTTCTTATAGTAACCTGTCAAAAATATGTCATCCCAGAGAACTTGTTTTTTTGGCCGCAACGGTAACTTCTCCATTTATCAGTAAGTAAATGGATGGACGCAATACGCACATGCACACCCCTTCCTCATCATCCAACTTCTGCTCTTTATGGTCCGAAAATAAATAATAAAAAAAAAATGGGGTGCAAAGCTATAATCGCCGCATTACACACAAAACGCACCAAACATATGTCCGATTCTTTGTAATACTTTTTGGTAATAGTACGAAAATCAATAGAAGAATAACAAAACAAAAAAAAGGATGGATGTATTTATATAACAGCCAATAACTGACTTACCATGAAACGATGTAAGCTATTAATCGTACGAATTACGAATGCGAAAGGCAAACACATCCATTCACATCTACAATTTATATTGAACTTGATAAATCGATTATCTAATTGGGACCGATTAATAACTGAATAAATACGTTATATATACAGATATACATGCACCTAGGAATTTCTTTTTTTCGTCGATAATGAATATTATGTATTTCATCATTCTGTTCCACTATCTACGCATAGATAATGAATGCTCAGGTTACCTAATAATTCGGGCGAAACAAACAACAAACAAAACAAAAAATTGTTCCTCAAAAGTCTGTCTTGCAATTATCTCGACACTCGTAACTCATTCAAACCGAAATTGGGTAAATTGTTGTGTAGTGTAAATTTCCCACAGGGCACTCTTTGTGCGGACTCATCCGTGTGGATATCCTGAGATTATTCCGATCCTCTTATTTAGTTTTATTTACGTTTTTTTCTCGCATTTCTGAAATTGGCAAGGCAAGGACGCCGCACCACTTTTGGGGCGAAAAACCCTTCTTTCTGCGGCTTCATTCACACCCTGTCAATCATTTCGACACCTGGGTTCGAGGGGAGAGAATCCCTTTTATTGGATAGATTAGGGGTGTTGTTGTCATCTTGTCCAAAGAACATGTATATATCTATATATATTATTCATAGCCACTTTTGCAATATTCGCGAATTCATTATCGCCGTGTTTATTCATCTGCTCGTAATACCAAGTTTAAACAATTTTCCACAAGGATTAGTGCCCTAATTTCCTGACTGACACATATCCATTCCTTTCCCCCATCGCGTTTCAATTTTATCCTGTTTCACCCCAAAAACTACTCGGTTTGCTTTTCTCATGGCGATAAATGGAGATCAGCTAAATTAGATCGGGGATATTTCTGGATTTCTCTTTCTCTCTTTTCATTGGCCAACGTCCCGAAACAATGTACGTTCCAATTTGTTTTTCCTGCACAACCGTTCCACGATTGACCCAGATCCGGAGGAGTCAATCTCGACGCAAACACCAGAAACATATCATAAATTTTCGATGTTTTTTTTTCCTTGATACGCGCACGAATTACATAAGTTTATCTTAATTTATACCACCATAAACACCAACTTTCTATCTTTATCTATAATTAGAAGATTTAGAGAATATTTATAGAGTATTTAAAAAAAAATATATACCTTATCGCTCATTTTCAGAATTTAGTCAATAAAATAAGAATGTCAGATGAGAGATGTAAAGTTTCAGCTTTTTCAAAATATTTCTTAACTAATTCGACGGTAAATAACATGTTGTTAAAAAATTTAATCTTAGTACTTGAAGTGTATAAGAAGTTTAGTAAGAAGTAAAATTGGTACGTACCTCCCAAGCGAATCGTTTGTCTTGAGGAATACCGGCCCATTTCCCTTGGAAGGGTCCGTACTTGATGTGTTTGGCAAGAGGACACTTGGCGAAGACTCCGTTTTCCCTGATCTCGAGATCAGCAGGTAGGAGACGCGACCAAGCGTAATCATTAGCCATCTTGATCCCGGAAAAGTGTTCCGCCAAGATATTCTTCGCGTGAATCGTGAGGAACTTGTAGGGATCATCGACGGAGGGCCTATGATGCGTGTCGTAGAGTGCTTCAACCGGCTTCAGCTGTAACCTCTCTCCGGCCAAATCCCCGGAATTCGGCGATACCATCGTCTCCATATCCTCGTTACCACCACGCGGAATCTCTAGTTCATCCTCGCTACCTTCTGCGAACGAAGAAACAATTCAATTTAGCACAACAACAATAATATATCATATTTTTTTATAATTAATTCCCACTTCGTTTCTTTCCTCTGTTTTCTTTTTACAAAACGCTGATTACCGCACGAGCGAAGAGATTTGTATGGTAGCTTATGTTATTAACTTAAACGAAACGGATTTCCTACGCAATTATCGGGACCCGGGAGGGCCTTTATCTTCGTTGGTTTTCAATTCTTCGGCCCACTCAAACCGCAATTCGAAACGGTTTTTCCTTTTGCATGCGCACAGCGAATCCGCGATACTTAATTAATTAAGCTCAAAGTTCTGCGCAAACAGGACGAAGAAGCTTTGCAAATATATAGAAAATAAAAATAAATCAAAGAAATGGAGATGAGAGTAAAAGAAGTGCAACGACCGTTTGCGCTCGTGCTTAAAGAAATACTCATCTCGTATTTCCCTTAGTCAGTTTTGCGATAATTTTTGTACAAGTCGTCTGCTCCGTGTATAATACGCATTCATCTCTTATTCTATGTCTGACTGTTATATTTGTATTTTTTTATTTTCGATCCAGTTGTCGTTTCTGGTCAGAGTCGAGGGCTGAACGAAAATCCGGCCGATGGAACGATTATCAGGTTTCGGCAGTTCCGTGCAGATTTTAGCACTCTCCCTCTCCTTCCTTCGGAATCGACTGTGATATCTCCATTACATATTGCATACAAATAAAAACGCAGCTTACCGAAAAGAGCCTAAACAGTCGGTGGAGATTATTTGAAAATAGAGAGAAGGGCGCTGCAGACACGTAGTATCACGTTTCAAACGAGCAAATTACATAAACATCGGGGATTATCTAAACACACCGGCGTTCGGTTACGCAATTCGTTCCTCCCCCTTTGTTCGCCGACAACGGAAAACAAGACGCAGCACCGATCCCTGCCTCCGCACATTCACAATCTTTAGCTTTTTCCACAATCGCTAAAATCATCAACCAAAAATCCACCAAGGGGTTGTTTTTTTTTCTCTCCTCCTATCGAGTGGCTTTATTGTTCTTTTCTCGGTTTCCTATTCACTGAAGGGGGTTTACGTGAGATTGGGTCACTTTGCAGGAAATTCAAGAGACTCGAGATAATCCGAGCGCAATAATCTCCAATAAAATTCTATGAACTAAGTTAACATCTACTTCCCATCATTGCTTCCGTTTATTTTATACATTTCAACTAAAAACGTACAATATTTACAATAAAAATTATATAAACCCAATCTAAATTATTTTGTATAAATTTATATAAACTTTATTATTAATAATACATTATTTGGTAACAATTGTAACAATTTCAATTCACTTTTAAGTAAAATTGAACAAAATATATTAACATAAAACATCTTTTCTAACTTTACTTTTTGGGTCTGTAGTAAGAAAGTTTGGTAAATAATAATATTTACTTTATGTGACATTTTTTTTTTAAATTATAACAAATTTATATAAAATTGTAATGAAATATTTTATTGTTTATATTTTTACATTAAAACAAAGTTTGGTAACCGATTAATTGTATTATGTTAATTGTTTATTACATCTTGCTTTATAAAACTAAGCGACGGATTTGAATCAATATATTTGAAAAAATATTTGATAATTGATTCTAAATATTATACTTTTAACAAAATTTTGTAAGTATTTCAATTCAAATTTAGAACACAATCTGTACAGAGTTCATTACGTAATACGTAAATAATCTACGGAAGCAGTGTTAATCGGTAATTGTTAGATAAAAACATTAATTTAATTATGCGTATTAAATGATTAAAGAAATGAAGTGAATTAAGGTGACAACAGTTTTGCATAAAAATGTTTACTAATTATAATTTCGTTAATGTTATTAATTAATTTAATGTAAATAATTAATTAGCCAACAAAAAAAGTTTCTTATTATTTTTATCAAGCATTTGTTTAAACAATGCGTTAAAAGTATTTATTAGGTATAAATCTTTGTAATTGTAATGTTTACGTTTAAGTGAAATGAACAATTCCGTATAATTAGGTAAGGAGAAACGAGGTGCGAAACAATCCCGAAAATGATTTGCATGAGCTTTTGCAGGTAGCTTTTTTCGCCCGATTCCGCTTTTATCATTTGCATGCGCTCCCCCACATTCCGTGCGCTTTTCTTACTAGCACGATGTGTTTATTATTATTATTTTTATTTTCGTGCTTTCATTTGCTCCTTGTGTTGTTATTTGTTTTTTTTTTATTATTATTATTTTTGCAACCACTCGGTGGGTCTTTTGTGGAGGGTCTCCGTGAATGGTCGGTTTGCGTGTCGCGAGGCGGCGGCGGCGGCGGGGGCGGCATTATGTGATTAGAGATAACAACGGGCCGAGCGGTGCAATAAAATGAAGGAAACTGGATCTGGACAAAAGGACTTCGTACGTGTCTTCGCGGTGCGTTCGCAATTCCGATTCTGTGTCTGCGCGTTCGGCGAACGAGGACACATAAAACCACACACAAAAAAACGAAACAAAATAAGCGAAAAGCTCTGTCTTTGGTTAAAGATGATGTTGAAGAGACGCGACGGTAAAATCCTGATCCTGCGCTCATCATTACCTGTCATTATTTTCCTCAGCACCATGAAAGAACCAAAAAAAAGGATGAAGAAGTATCAAGCACTGCGCACTGAACTAGTCTGTTGATCACTGACAAAAAAAAAACTGTATATGAACACTTTGAGTATGTTATGCGTGTATATATAAGCTGTGTATGCGTGCGTTTTATTCAACAGTTTCGCTCCAAACGCTATCCAGTGGAGCACTGATTTATCCCGGTCCATCCCGTGTCCCGGATCCGAGGGATATCTGGGCGTGGCCCCGGCCGATCCGTAAGGGTGGGGTGCGTCGGAGGCGGGGCCATCCTTAAGGACCCAACCCCCACCACCGCCACCCTATCTATTAGATAGTGACAGCTCTATCTGACCAATTCCAGAAAGGACACGTGCCTCTATTACCTCCACACAAGAACCAGAACGAAATCGCTCAGTTCAACACAAAAAAAAAGAGAAAATAGAAGAGAAAAAAAACAACCCTCCACTCGATCTCGCTATAATAATAATAATAATAAGAAAGAAAAAGCCCTCTTTATTTTTATATTACAACCTATCCTTGTCGCACGCACACTCGATTCCTTTGATCCTTCGAGAAATGAAGCTGATTTCGGGGCAACATCGATTCCTTCATCTCTCTCTCCTTAAAGGTGACCTAATTGAAGACCGACCAATCCACCACCCCCCCGCGCAGAGCGACAGAACCGGATCAATATGGAGTGGTGATCCTCTCTGGGGGGGTTACCCACCACCGCCGCCGCCGACGTTCGAAACTTTTCCAACCCCTCGGCGTATCGGGAAAAAAATATATTATATGAAACAGCGTTCGCCCATTAATAAAATATTCAGAGCCGCGCGAACTGCAAACACAACTGCGAAACGCGTTCCTCTCCAAACACAGAGCAAAGCAAAGAGAAAATATACATATAGAGAGAGAAAGATACACACAAAAAGAGAATACAGAGAGAGGAAAAAATACATTTTTTTTTTGAATCTTGCATAAAGGACAAACAAGTAAATGAATTTTCGGTCTGGCAACAAAAAAAAAATAACAAACTGAGCCAAAACACATAACTTTGGTGGCATTAATATTTCATCGTGCCATCGCGTGAATTACAGTTCGCTCTTTTGTTTTTTCCTTTTTTGTTTGTTATTATTTTGTTTTTCAATAAAGTTTATTGAAAAGTTCGGTGGATTCGCCGGGTCGTGAATTTTTCATACGCGATCATCCACACAATTTTTACACATTTCCGCGTTTCCATAACAAAAGAAAAAACAATAGAATTTACTATGTTACCAATAGATTTTTTTTTATAAATTTATTTTGTGCCCTTTTTGATGATGAAAACATTTGAACTAATTGTATAATCATATTTATTAAATAATTTGATGCAATGTTCAAAAATTATTTATTTATTCGCATGTAATAAACGTTTGTGTATTTAAAATTTTCATATTTGAAAAAATTTACCCTTTGACCAGTTTATTAATTTGTATTAGGATTTAATTTGTAAATCCTTCTTTTATCTAACAAATTTATTATTTAATTTATATTAGTTTCAAATAATCAAATTATCAATTTTTTCGCTTATAATAAAAAAAAAATCATAAATTTGTTAATTTAATTTATAAATAAGAATGAAATAAATATGTGAATCTTTAAATGAAAACTTAATTCCTGGTGAATGACTTTTTCATTCAAGGTTTTTATTTTTCAATTAATCGCAAGTCTATGTATAGAGATTACACGGCTTACGTCAATGAAGAATTTGCGGTTGATCGAGTGAACATTTTATGTACTCTCAACAATTTTGATAATTTCTCTGACAATATTACAAAAAAAACAACGAAAACAATTGAAATCGAGTGTAAAGTGTTAATCCGTTCGAGAGGATTAATTGAATTACGTTGGGAAATAGATTCGGTTTATATAATGCAGCGTTGGAGAGATGCTCTTGTGCGTGCAACAATGATGGGATTAGAGGTGGAACCAGTAGAAGCAGCAACAGCAGCCGCCCCTGGACCACTTGATAATTACACTGATTAGAATCGAATTTGCATTCGGTCTGAAACAAATAATAATAAATACGTGTGCGGTGGATGATGAACGAACAAACAACAAAAAAAAAAACAACAAGTACGACGGTGGAGATTGGAGGGATGAATGCGAGGGGTGGTCGCAGGCACATTCAACCTCGGACGAGCAGATGTCGCGGCTCAAACTCATTACAAGGCCATTCGGAAAGCGAAGCCAGTAGAGACGGAAAGAAAAACAATTGCATCGACAGTACTTGCGAGTGGTAACTAACCACTCCAGAAACCGTTCGAATTGTTTGCGACCTGCACATTATTATTTACATCCAACTTCAGTTCAAACTACATATTTAACATTTGACAATCTGCTACATTTATAT